CCTACTCAGCATCCATGATTAATGCTGTGACCCAGAGTTGCAAAAGGCTGGTGTATGGAAGAGGATAACAGGACTGTTAAGGTCTGTCAGTTTATAATTCTTTTTTGGTATAAATAATTTATTAGTAGTGTTAACATGTCTTTGGCATTCTTTCTTTCCTAATTTTTGGATAACAAGTCACCTGATTTCTTAGTGTGACTTTTTGGGCCATTTCTAATTGTACCAAAAATTTTAGAGTTTCTGAAAGCTCAAAAGACAATATTTTCATTTTGACAAAAAAAATCATCTAAGAATTTCTCTGGTAAATGATATTTGAAATTCTACAATTTAATATTTACACAGAGAAGAAGTTCTAATTATAAATAATTTATTAATAATAATACTACCTCTTGGTTGCTGTGAGGAATAAATGAGTCAATGCACATAATAATGTGAACAGTGCCTGGCATCCAGGAAGTACCTAGTTGAGGCTTAATATTATTGTTGTTGTTTTTATAGAGTGATCCAAAGAGTCACCTTCTTCTCACTGGAATATTATTCAATTACCAGAGCTAGCTTTGGTGAATCAGAGATGGATAATAAATACTGCCAGAAACTTCTGTTAATATCATCTATGCTGAGTCAGTGGACAAGGCTGAGCAACAGTACTGCTTTAAGTAGCCAACTCATCCTCTTCCAGTGCCAACTAACCTCATGATGATCTAACAAAATGATGAAGAGAAATAATGGCTTCTGATAAATTTTTAAAAATACTATTTAAAAACTTGTATATCTTCTGAAAAAACTTTGCCAGATGAAGATCAAATGTGAAACAAATGATATATTTTAAAACATGCCAACCAAATGTTGAAGTTTAAGAATACCAGATTTTATCATAACATGATGTAGTCAGATAAATATTCATATTTGTCATGATAACTTTTAAAACAGCAAATGTGAGACATTTTGCATTTGATATGTTTTTTAAACTGTCAAAGTATCCAAAATTAGAGTTCTTGAATTAGTAGCTTTTATTTCTGATAGTTATCAAAAAATGGGCATTATAATAATTTTGCTATTTATTTCACAAAATTTTGGACACAATTAGGTAAAATAATGTATGTGAAAGCCCATGCAAAATGCAAATTGTTTGGCAAACATGTTATTACTTTATTTATCTTGAAAGAATGTTTATACATGCAACTACACTAGCCAGACATATGTATGTATACACACAGACAGAAGATGTATGTCTAAGTTCTAGAAAGGACCTGCCAAAAATATAGTATGTGTTATAATTATTTTCCTTCTTTGGATTTATTTATCTCTAATACAGTAATTTTAAATTTGGAAGTGAGAAAATTAAAATTGTGGAAATTACAGTAGAAGATTCTAACAGACTACCCATATAGTTTAATAATAAGGTCAAGAAAAGATTACTATTCAAAATTTAATCCTATAAAAATAATATAACAAAAATAAATGACCTTAATTATCTGCATCATGGAGCCACCCTAAGAAATATTAGGAATCTAAGAGCAAGGTGCATCTCACATTCAATCATGCAAACTGGGTAATGAGATCTTTTTGAACTGTACAATGGTTTTCTAATTTGTTTTGCATGAGGTAACAAGAGACTGATTTTAAGGACAAAATAACCTTTTTTCTAAAATTTTCTGGTAATCAAGTGTAAAAATCTATCCAGATAGAAACATCCTAAGAGTAAAATTTCTTCAAAAGTACTAATACACAGAACTTATATTGGAGTCTATTGGTAAAATTTCTGGACCTGTTCCCAAATCAACTAATTGATAAAATAGGATATTAATAGGAAACATGACTGTCATCTTTGGCTCAGAAAAGGTTCTTCTAGTGATCTAACCTTATCCAAAGAACAAATCAGATCAATACATATTTTCTTCATTTTCCTTATTAAAAATTAAAGACATAAGGAATATTTAGAAATTTTTGTTTTACTCTAGAAAACTGGTTGGATTTTCCTTTTATGCTTTAGATCAATAATTTTCAAACTGTAGTATATGTAAGAACAACCTAAAAAGTCTCTAATAAATGCATATTTCCAGATCACAAATAGATTCTAGGTTTTCATATTTCCAAATTAGCCTTTCCTGGGCTTTGTATTCATGATATACCTGGAAGAAATGGAAAATTCAACCACATCTGAAGAGTTATAATCGAGACAAGCTGGAAGCCCTGAGTGACTCACCAACAAACTGCCCTCCACAAATTTCACTTGAGCAGTCAGGTGACCATTATGTTTGCCTCCTGGTTCCATTGCTACCCTTAATGACCTCAACTAATATTGTGCATCCTCACTTACTCAAGATTCTGTAGAGTAAATTAACTGACAAAACAGAAACTAGCTCTGATATCCTTTTTATATACAGTTTTATAATTAAGTATGCTGAAAAGTAAAAACACTTTAAAACAAATCATTTTGATGATTATTGTCTGCACAGTTGAATTTTTTTGCAAGGCACATGCCAGTATTTTATGAAATAGGAATTACAGAGTGGGAAACTAACAACAAGGAAGAAAAGTGATTTTCAGGGTCTTTGAAAGATTTTATTTATGTTGTTTCCTCTCAAGTTTCTAGTGGAGTGCTTTAAGACATTATACCTTAAAAACGGAAGAAAAGTCTGACTCTTTTGTCAATCACAGTTCCTTTTCAATAAAATTAGCCATCCATTGAATCCCTAACCAGACATCCAAGATACCAACTGCTCACATTTTCTTCCTGGAAGGAAACTGTTAAGTTACAGTTACATGAGGTCAAGTTTGGTGCTTATTTTGCAAGGGATATGGAAAATATAAAGAGATCCAAAGAAAGAGTTGTAACTGGTAGTGTGTATGGGAATAACTGAATGGTAGCTTCAGCTATTACTGCTGCATAATAAGATGTCTGTGGAAAACTACTCAGTCATCCTAAGACAAATGCCTAGGACAAGGATTAGCCCCTTATTACATGTACATCCCTTAGCAAGTGGCAAACATTCAAATTGGCTCTCTACATAATTGTGTAGGTTATATCGTACAAGTCAAAACATGCTGTTCACACAGACAATTGTCTGAATAGAGCCCTTCGAATAATGCCACTGGCAACCCCAATTAATTTATTTTTTGTCCTAGAGAGATCAGAGAACATTCACTTGATGATGGTGGTGGTAGTGGTAGTGGTGGGTGATGAAAGTAAAGACAATAACCAAAATCTGTGATTACCTATAACATGCTGGCTGATTTACCCACATTATTAAGAAAGAAGGATCACATATAAGAAAAAAAAAACTGATCAAATATCAAAGACTTTGAGGGACCTCTGCATGTAACCATTGCTACCCTTTTAAGCCATAGGTAAGTGGAATTATGTTAAATTGTTAGAAAAAGTTTCATTGGATTTGTTCTCATAAAATGGTGACAGAATTATGAATAGAAAATGTGTAATACTCTAATCTAATCTAATATTAGAATTTTGACTTTAAAATTTCCTTCATTTCTTATTTGTTAATTTATAGCACTATCGAGGTAAATGCATAGGGAGAAGATTAGGGTTTTTTTCTCTTGCAGGTTTTGAAGACTTAAGATGTTTATTCACAAATCATAATTTGTGGGGAGAGTTGAATACACAAATTCAAATTAAAACACTAAAAGTGGTAAAACAGTTTTATAAACAACCCTCCAAATCATAAAGCAACTAAAATAATAAAGAACTAAATTAATTGCAATGAATGCAAACATTTTAAAACTCAATTGTACAAAGATTCTTAGTTTACACATTGACAGTAACAATTTTTACTTTAGGTGAAGCTCATTCCACTGAGATTCTCTTAACAATCACATGTCTAGAAGTCTCTATAAGATCATCCCCAACCTAATAAAAGAGTCATCAGTATCTGATTGTTGTCCCCATACCTACCACTTCTATAAAATCCTTTATGGGTAAATTTTATTTAAAAAAAAAAAAACCTTTAGTCTTAACTGCTTTTTTCCTTTCATTAAAACTTAAATTTGCTTTTAAATCTTGATGGTTTGATCTTTTCAAATACTTCCTTTGAAATAAAACATATATGAGTATCTTTTATTGAAATTCTTTCCCCCAACCACTCCTGATCTCTATAATGTAGAGGCATTGAATAATTTATCACAAGAGATTGTTTCATTCGAATACTGAGAATCATATAATACAGAATTGCAATGAAGATTATTGGTTTGCTACCTTAATGTTAGTGATTATAAATTCCATTGCTGAAGTAATTATGTCTGTTATTAAGAAAAAAATATTTTTCCAATGCTCCTAGGCAGGTTAAAGCACTTATCATTAGATCATTTTCAATGACGTTAGGATCTTAATGATACATCCCTGTGTTAGTTGGAGGGGGTGGACCACATTTTAAGGACCATTTTTTTGGCTATAAAGTCAGAATTTTAGTCCATACACTCATAGAGGAATAGAATTTTCAAATTCTGCTCCAGAGTTATGATAGGCAAATAACAAAGAAATGGACCTCAGATAAAACCTGCAATTTCCTCTGGAATGGGAAGAAGTCACAGCCTTTGCATCTTTGTGACATTCCCACTGAATCCAATCCCACTGAATGCAAGCAGTCAACATTTACATCACAGCTGATGGCAAATGGTACCCTGATGATTTAAGAATCATAAACCAGGAAGAAACCAATTTCTAAGCTTTATGAAATGTTTTGAACTCTAGAGTCTGTCTCCTTTCTTGCCTGCGAAGTAGAGATGCAGTTTTAGTCCTTACACTGGAAGAAAAGCTCATATACATGTTAGAAACATGGCTTTGAGAAGTCAGTCTGGTTTGCCAAGAATAATGACCCTGTTTTTAATCAGTGGCTGTTGAGACAATGTCTTACATGGGAAGTGTCTTGTGAAGTAAGGAGGAGTCATGAATAAGAGAGGCTTGCTTTAAACTGCAGAGCTGAGAGGTGTTCAGAGGGCCAGTTAAGAACAAAGCTCAGGAGGAGGAAAGTGTCATGACTTACCTGTAATACTTTGGTCAAATTGTTAAATAGAGCTTGGCCAGCACTCACTTTGTATTTGACGCCTCTCACTGTGCCATTTTTGCTTAAAATGTTGACTCTTCTTGTACCAAAACCCTTCTCACTGGCAGCCTTTGCCAGCACCAGCAAGTTATCCTGATCATTCTCTTGCTCGTCGCCTTCAGATCCAATGTGGCCATTTTGCTGTCCATCAGAATCACTTAGTCCATCTATCCCACAAATACTGGCACATTCAGAATCCAGAGAGCCAGATGGTTGCCCATCATCATAAACCTCCTTCAGAACTCGTCCACTGTGAGATGATGCGATCCGAAATCGGACTCTCCGTGGCCTGTCACTTTCTGGCTTCATCTCCCTTTTCAGCATGGTCGCCTCCACCCACATGAACAGTTTACATCATTTTGAACCCATTGTTAATGCACTAGTTCATTGCCACAGCAATGTCAGAGCTGAAACCTAGTGACAGCAGCACTCCTACAAAACTAACACTGAAAGGAAAGAAGAGTCCCAAGAACATACAGGGCATCTCTGCTCTTAATAATAAATGTGTGTGTGTGTGTGTGCTATGGTTACCTTTAAACTAAAACCTGCAAAATGATCCTTGCCTTTAAATATTAAATGACCGTGGTGGACTCCTTAACAGGACAAGTGCAAGGAAGTGGCATGCAATAAAACAGAAAGTAAATTTAAGGAAAGGAAATGAAGGACAAACTTTGAAGCCCATGGTAACTGTTGAAAAAAAAAATCTTAGCTGCAGAAAAAATTCTAAAGTTTAATGTCCAAAGAGTAAAAGTCAGAGATAAAAAGTGGAATCCAAGGTGGGGAATAGGAAGTGTCATCATCTTCTCCCAATGCTAATTTCTTTTTTCACTTTCAGCAGGTGATCTTTGAGAAGGGCAGTGAATCTGTACCATGATTGCATAGAGCTAGCGATATTAATGCTTGTTAAATAACCAGTGACTTCATCTACACTGTATAAGATGAATTTTCAAACTATATTTCCATGTTGCTCAAGAAATCTTTATAATAGGCTGTGAAAAGAGATAAATTGGGGTTAGTCATGCTTCTACTTCTGCTAGTTGAAAATGTTGTTCTCTGCTAGAGGGAAGCTTTTGGAAAAAAAACATGGAGCAGTAAGGGAAGAATGGAAAATCCCTCAAGCCAGCCAGATCAGCCAAAGCAATCCAAGTGATCGGCAATGATAGATACTATCTCCAAACCATCCATGCATAGAGAAGAGAAGGGGCCTCCAGGTCAGGCTCAGTGTATGTTCTTATCACTTTGTTGAATCTCTTAAGTTATAAAGGCACATTGAAATGTGTTACACAGTGAGGGCACCAAGCCATCTGCACCTGGTATGAAAGGATCAGCAACCAACAAGCCCATAGCACTGCCAATTTTAATATTTGTAGTTTTTATCTAATTGTGAATTTCATATTCTTAGAAAATACTCTATAGCACAAAGTTGAAAATGAAAATCATGAATACCTCACTAGAGATATTGATAATTTTGTGTATTTTCTTCCAGTGTGAGTGACAGACATGCTCCTGATGCTTACAGAACTGCATTGCTCAGCCTCTTGCATTTAAGGAGAGGGAACCAGTGCCTAGCTTTTGTCTATGAGATATGAACAAAAGTGAAGTGTCATTTATAGACCAAAGCATTTAAGATAGGGAGAGTCCTACTGGTGCTGTTTCTCTTCCTTTCCCATATTTTCGTCCTATGACCTCAGAGAACCGTTGAAACCACATACTGAGCTTGTCAGAGTCACAGAGAAACTCATAAACACTACCACTCTGCATGTGATTATGTCTTGAGCAAAAAAAAAAAAAAAAAAAAGAAAATCAGCCTTTATTGTGTTAAGCAATGGAGATTGAAATTTAGGGTGTGTCTGTTAGAGCAGTGATCACAATTGAATCTGATTAAAATGCTCTCATATATACAATCTACATTTATTTAATATCTGGCTTTATCATTCAACATTATATATTGAGACCTTTCCTATATGCTATTTCTGAAAGCATGAATTTAATTTAATTAGATTGATATGCATGCTTTTCCCAACCCCTACAGTATCTTCTGAGAAATCTGAACATTTGGAAATAAAATTGCATTATTTTTTCCTTGTCACAATAGGAAATAGTTATCTTGCATATACCCACTGTATTACAACAAGTACTAATTCTCTTGTATATACTCATTGTGGTACAAGAAAAAAATAAAGCCATTTTATGTCCACATCTCCAGATCTTTCAGAATACACAGTAACAATTGGGGAGGGCATGCCTATTAGCCTAACCAAGAAAAAAAAATCAAAATTCTGTGTTTCAATTAAGTTTTTCCCAAGCTCTCCCTTTAATCTTCTGAGCTTTTTATTCTTAGTGCTTTGAATTGGAGACAGTGTGTGATAGCATGAGTAATGTTTTGGACTCAAAGGAACTTAGGTTCAAATGCCTTCTTGGGAATTTTCACGTGGAAAGATAGCAACATCTACCTCAGAAAGTTGCTTGCAAAATATCTGGAATATATCATCACTCAATTATAGTCACTCAATGTGTCTGTGATATTGTGCACATAACTATGTGTACTCCAACTGAAAATAACTCTTTTTAGCCTGATTAGAGCCAAACAAAGACTATATAAGATCTTAGTCTAAAGACATATTTGCAGGATAGAAAGAATTTGTTAGAGTCATTAGAAATTTAGGATATTTTAAAAATATATGTGAAAAGTCTATGTGTGTGTGTGTGTGTGTATATATATGTGTGTGTGTGTGTGTGCATGTGTGTATATGATTACATATTTTAAATGATGATACTCCTTTGAGTTATTTCCTTTCTAAGAATAAACTGAAAGTCCAGTAGACTGAAAAATACCCTGCCACAAGTACAAGGAAACATTAGCTAAAAACTACATGCCTGATACATAACATACCCTTAATGATTATAATTCACACACTTATCTTAAGCTAAAATAAAATTAAGCTGTTCTCCTTGGTGGAAAATTTTTGCAATTTTTCATTCATTCAAGCAATGAGTATTCCACAAATATCTACTGATCATCACTCAAGGATAAAACATAACAAGACAGTACAGTAAATATAATAAAATTACAGCCCACACTTTCCATTGGTGATATGATGCTTAAGCAAAATAGCTTTAGTTAACTTGTTATATTTCAAATGCATATAGACTTCTTTAGAATATTATAAATTCATGAAATAAACAAATTGCTCATCACATCCAATATATGACATCAGGACTATTCTCAACACTCTCCATCCTTGTTCTGTTTAAAATGTGTTCCCAGTCACTCAGTGTCATAGTTGCTTTTCGCTACTGGTTTTGTCACCTTTTCACAGCATCGATGTTCTTTACATTTCAATCCCTTTGCCAGCTTTGTTTACTCCCATCACTAAGAATTTCCCTTTCTTCCTTCAGGTGGATTCTTGCATTTACTCATTTAAAAATATTGTCAAACACCTACTAAATGTCAAACAGTTGCCAAGTCTAGTCTATGTAGGTGAATACAATAGACACGATCCTTGCTTTACAGGTAGATAGAAAACATACAGTACAGAAATAAAGATGCAATAAGAATTGTTACAAGAATTGCAAAAATCAAGTGTAGAAATCAATGAGAAATTATAAAAGAAGGGAACCTACTTTAGACCAAATAGACATAGTAGACCTCTCTAAAGAGGAGATATTATACTGGGATCTACCAAAATTAGAAGACATTGAACATGAATATTTAAGAGGTGGGCAGGAGTACTTTGGGATAGTTCCTTATCTGCAGTAGTATATGCAAAGGTCCTAAGGCAGAAAGCCAATAGATTTTCTCAAAGAACTAAAAAGCAGCAGCAGATGAAGACAAATATGATTTCTGTTTTACAAAGTTGTTTTCCAAAGAAGACAATACCAGCAAGACTTTTCCTTCCTAACCTAAACTTTAGTTAATGTAATGCTTTGAAATATGAAACAAAAAACCTGTAAGTCATATTACCAACCCAGAAATATTTCAAGAATTCATAAGTTTGATATCAATGGCCATCTATTTGTTTACAATAACAAATTATAGACTCCAGAAGCTCTAGAGAGGATAGAATGTGTATTAATCAGACTAGGAAAACTTTTTAAAATACTATTAATCATAAAAACCCCTTCTTCAAATACCAGTAGGAACAGAAACCGATAGCAGTTAAAACTTAGGCCTAAGGATTTCTGGTTTGTGTCAGTTTTTTTTTTTTTTAATTTTTCATTAGAATATCTATTTCCTTTTTACAGGGAAGGTATAGCATAAAATTTCTTTTTTACTTATGCTGTCTCCAAAATATTGCTCCCATCACCATATTCTGTGTGTGATCACCTCTGTAAGACTACCATGGTAAGAAATAATTTTAACCATGTTCCTAGTTTTGGAGCCTAATTTTAAAATCCCCAGTCAATTTATGCAGCATAGCTTCATTTTACACTACCTTTTAGCCATGACATTGACTCTTTTGGTTTTTTGCTCTTGAAAACACTAGCAATCGATCACTGAAGTGAAGCAGAAGTTCTGCCAGTAGCAAAGTAATTATCTTCTCCAGCAACACTTGTCACTGAAGAGCAAAAGCCCTGACTCACTCCTTCGTGGCTGTTCTCAGAATTTCTGTTTGGATAGAGGGAGGCTATCAATTTTCATTTTCTAATGGCATTGGTGATTAAAGGAGGAACATGGATTTGCAAACCATCAATGTAATTAGGGGGAAAAAAAACTATCCCTGAGACTTTTCTGCTTTTTGAAGGTTGGATCTTTCTTAACCCAAACAAATCCATACATCAGAATTCACAGTTCAAGGGTTAAAGTGCAGAGACCTTCTAATCAGAAAAGAAGCTGAGTGTATTCAAGAAAGTATTGTTTGGAAAAAGGACTGTGTTCTTACATAAAAAGAAATAATGATGTCTTAGTTTTGGATTAGTGGTTAAGAATGGAGGCTGTGCACACACAATACTTGGTCTGAATCTTGCATCTGCTGTTCTCTAAATAATCTTGGAAAATTGCTTAACCTCTCTGAGCCTCAGTTTCCTTTTCTGTCACATGGTAATTCTCACTTCACAGAGCATTTGGAAGGATTGAATAGAAGGTTTACATGAAGTAGTGGGTGTGATGCACAACAGAAGAGAGTTAGAATTCTTATCAAGGGTCTAACCTGGCTAAACATCCATACGGTTTGGAGGATAGTGAGAAGAATGGATCCAAGAAAGTGTGACTATCACTGATAGGAAATTGAGGCAATCCTGTTACATTTCTGGTAGGATTCCAGGACTTCAAGCTTGAACCAATCTGTCATCTCTTCGATCCTGGGGAAGGACTCCCAACTGCA